ATATATATTACTGAGGACCACCAAGGTATTGCTATATTATTGAGGACCACCAAGGTATAGATATTTTAATGAGGACCACCAGGGTATAGATATATTATTGAGGACCACCAGGGTAAAGATATATTACTGAGGACCACCAGGGTATTGACATATTACTGAGGACCACCAGGGTATTGATATATTACTGAGGACCACCAGGGTATTGATATATTGCTGAGGACCACTAGGGTATAGATGTATTACTGAGGACCACCAGGGTATAGATATATTACTGAGGAATACCAAGGTATTGATATATTAGTGAGGACCACCAGGTTATAGATATAATACTGAGGACCACCAAGGTATTGATATATTACTGAGGACCACCAAGGTATAGATATATTAATGAGGACCAGCAGGGTATTGATATATTGCTGAGGACCACCTGGGTATAGATGTATTACTGAGGACCACCAGGGTATTGATATATTACTGAGGACATCCAGGGTTTAGATTTATTACTGAGGACCAACAAGGTATATATATATATATATATATATATATATATATATATATATATATATATATATATATATATATATATATTACTGAGGACAACCAAGGTATAGATATATTATTGATGACCACCAAGGTATAGATATATTACCGAGGACCACCCGGGTATAGATATATTACTGAGGACCACCAAGGTATTGATATATTACTGAGGACCACCAGGGTATTGATATATTACTGAGGACCACCAGGGTATTGATATATTACTGAGGACCACCAAGGTATTTATATATTACTGAGGACTACCAGGGTATAGATATATTACTAGGGTCCACCAAGGTATTGTTATATTTACCGAGTTCCACCAAGGTATTGATATATTACTGAGGACCACCAGGGTATTGATATATTACTGAGGACCACCAGGGTATTGATATATTACTGAGGACCACCAAGGTATTGATATATTACTGTGGACCACCAAGGTATAGATATATTTCTGAGGACCACCAAGGTATTGATATATTACTGAGGACCACCAGGGTATAGATATATTGTTGAGAACCACAAGGATATAGACATATTAGCGAGGACCACCAGGCTATTGATATATTACTGAGGACCACCAAGGTATAGATATATTACTGAGGACACCCAGGGAATTGATATATTAATGAGGACCACAAATGAGTAGATATATTACTGAGGACCATCAGTGTATATATATATTACTGAGGACCACCAGGGTATTGATATATTACTGAGCACCACCAAGGTATAGATATATTACTAAGGACCACCAGGGTATAGATATATTACTGAGGACCACCAGGGTAGTGGTACATTACTGTTAACCACCAGGGCATTGATATATTACTGAGGACCACCAAGGTATTGTTATATTACTGAGGACCACCAGGGTATGAATATATTATTGAGGACCAGCAGGGTATTGATATTTTGCTGATGACCACTAGGGTATAGATATATTACTGAGGGCCACCAGGGTATAGATATATTACTGAGGACCACCAGGGTTACATATATTACTGAGGACCACCAGGGTATAGATATATTACTGAGGACCACCAGGGTATAGATATATTACTAAGGACCACCAAGGTATTGATATATTACAGAGGACCACCATGGTATTGATATATTACTGAGGACCACCAGGGTATAGATATATTGTTGAGAACCACAAGGATATAGACATATTAGCGAGGACCACCAGGCTATTGATATATTACTGAGGACCACCAAGGTATAGATATATTACTGAGGACACCCAGGGAATTGATATATTAATGAGGACCACAAATGAGTAGATATATTACTGAGGACCATCAGTGTATATATATATTACTGAGGACCACCAGGGTATTAATATATTACTGAGCACCACCAAGGTATAGATATATTACTAAGGACCACCAGGGTATAGATATATTACTGAGGACCACCAAGGTATTGTTATATTACTGAGGACCACCAGGGTATGAATATATTATTGAGGACCAGCAGGGTATTGATATTTTGCTGATGACCACTAGGGTATAGATATATTACTGAGGGCCACCAGGGTATAGATATATTACTGAGGACCACCAGGGTTACATATATTACTGAGGACCACCAGGGTATAGATATATTACTGAGGACCACCAGGGTATAGATATATTACTAAGGACCACCAAGGTATTGATATATTACAGAGGACCACCATGGTATTGATATATTACTGAGGACCACCAGGGTATTGATACATTACTGAGGACCACCAGGTTATAAATTTATTATTGAGGACCAGCAGGGTATTGATATATTGCTGAGGACAACTAGGGTATAGATATATCACTGAGGACCACCAGGGTTAGATATATTACTGAGGACCACCAGTGTATAGATATATTACTGAGGAGCACCAGGGTAGTGATACATTACTGTTAACCACCAGGGTATATATATATATTACTGAGAACCACCAAGGTATTGATATATTACTGAGGACCACCAGGGTATAGATATATTATTGAGGACCAGCAGGGTATAGATATATTACTGAGGACTACCAGGGAATTGATATATTGCTGGGACCACTAGGGTATAGATATCTTGCTGAGGACCACCAGGGTTCGATATATTACTGAGGACCCCCAGTGTATAGATATATTACTGAGGACCACCAGGGTATAGATATATTACTAAGGACCACCAGGGTATTGATATATTACTGAGGACCACCAGGGTATTGATGCATTACTATTAACCACCAGGGTATATATATATTACTGAGGACCACCAAGGTATTGATATATTACTGAGGACCACCAGGGTATAGATATATTATTGAGGACCAGCAGGGTATAGATATATTACTGAGGACTACCCGGGTATTGATATATTGCTGGAACCACTAGGGTATAGATATCTTGCTGAGGACCACCAGGGTTAGATATATTACTGAAGACCACCAGGGTATAGATATATTACTGAGGACCACCAAGGTATTGATATATTACAGAGGACCACCAATATATTGATATATTACAGAGGATCTCCAGGGTATTGATATATTACTGAGGACTACCAGGGTATTGATACATTAATGTTAACCACCAGGGTATATATATATTACTGAGGACCACCAAGGTATTGATACATTACTGAGGACCACCAGGGTATAGATATATTATTGAGGACCTGCAGGGTATTGATATATTACTAAGGACCACCAAGGTATTGATATATTACAGAGGACCACCAATATATTGATATATTACAGAGGATCTCCAGGGTATTGATATATTACTGAGGACTACCAGGGTATTGATACATTACTGTTAACCACCAGGGTATATATATATTACTGAGGACCACCAAGGTATTGATACATTACTGAGGACCACCAGGGTATAGATATATTATTGAGGACCTGCAGGGTATTGATATATTACTGAGGACCACCAGGGTATTGATATATTGCTGAGGACCACTAGGGTATAGATATATTGCTGAGGACCACCAGGGTAAAGATATATTTCTGAGGACCTCCAGGGTATAGATATATTACTAAGGACCACCAGGGTATAGATATATTACTAAGGACCACCAAGGTATTGATATATTACTGAGGACCACCAGGGTATTGATATATTATTGAGGACCACCAGGGTATAGATATATTACTGAGGACCACCATGGTATTGATATATTACTGAGGACCACCAAGTTATATATACATTACTGAGGACCACCAGGGTACAGATTTAATAACTGAGGACCACCAAGGTATTGATATTTATTGAGGACCACCAGGGTATAGCATATATTACTGAGGACCACCAAGGTATTGATATATTGCTGAGGACCACTAGGGTATAGATATATTGCTGAGGACCACCAGGGTATAGATAAATTACTGAGGACCACCAGGGTATAGATATATTACTGAGGACTACCGTGGTATAGATATGTTGCTGAGGACCACCAAGGTATTGATATATTCCTGAGGACCACCAATGTATATATATATATTACTGAGGACCACCAGGGTATTGATACATTACTGAGGACCACCAGGGTATAGATATATTACTGAGGACCACCAGGGTATAGATATATTAATGAGGACCACCTGGGTATAGATATATTACTGAGGACCACCAAGGTATAGATATATTACTGAGGACCACTAGGGTATTGATACATTTCTGAGGACCACCAGGGTATAGATATATTACTGAGGACCACCAAGGTATTGATATATTAATGAGGACCACCTGGGTATAGATATATTACTGAGGACCACCAAGGTATAGATATATTACTGAGGACCACTAGGGTATTGATACATTTCTGAGGACCACCAGGGTATTGATATATTACTGAGGACCACCAAGGTATTGATATATTAATGAGGACCACCTGGGTATAGATATATTACTGAGGACCACCAGGGTATAGATATATTACTGAGGACCACCAAGGTATAGATATATTACTGAGGACCACTAGGGTATTGATACATTTCTGAGGACCACCAGGGTATAGATATATTACTGAGGACCACCAAGGTATTGATATATTAATGAGGACCACCTGGGTATAAATATATTTCTGAGGACCACCAGGGTATTGATATATTACTGAGGACCATCAAGGTATAGATATATTACTGAGGACCACCAAGGTATTGATATATTACTGAGGACCACCAGGGTATTGATATATTACTGAAGACTACCAAGGTATTGATATATTCCTAAGGACCACCGAGGTGGTTCAGGAAATATCTTAACTCCAGGAAGTTTATTTTCTCGCAGTTATATGTGATTGGATTTCGTTTCTCGGTAGCAATATATATATATATATATATATATATATATATATATATATATATATATATATATATATATATATATATATATATATATATATATATATATATATATATATATATATATATATATATATATCATGCCGTGACTTTTCATCAGGGTGATGAGGTATACAGAGGGTCGTGCTATAATTTCGCTGACGTGCAACACACGTGGAGTGACGCTGAGGCTGACTGTGAGTCCCGCGGGGCTCATCTCATGGTGCTCAACGACAGGTACATACACAGAGTTTTTATCTGCGATAATTATATCCATTCTCATATTGTATGTTTTAATCCTTATGGCTTATCAAATGGTATATTTTTATTTTATTTACTAACAAATTTATCTTTTAAGAGAAATGTTCTTAGTTTTACAAGTTACCGTGGATTTGAAATGTATGTAATTGTAAATATTTGTGTGTGAGTCATGAGGTAAAACAATACTGAGCTTATTATATATGAAATTTTTCTATGAGTAATAAACTGCTGTCCTTCTCATATAAATCCATATTAAGAATTATTATTTATTTATCAATTGAAAATCAAATGAAAAAGTACCTAAATCGTACGACCAGTGAATTGTGTACAGCCGCAGGAGAGGACATTCACATCCTCAAATTACTTGTTCAATAGTTTGTTGGAAGTTATCCACAATGATTGTATGAAATTCATGTAGGACTACTCTTCTGTGTCATGATAGAGGTGTGTGTATGACATATACAGTATAGACCTTTTCGGCTGTATCGTGGTAGTGGTGGGCTTATGAAACATTGTTTCATTGTATTGGTAGGTGTATATGCAGTGGCGTAGCTAGAGTGTGTGCCGCAGGGCATATGAGTTGCCACTTGCCCCACAAAATACATATTGCACAGTGACTCACTCTTATATATATATATATATATATATATATATATATATATATATATATATATATATATATATATATATATATATATATATATATATATATTAAATAGTTTGTGTACCATTATAATATTACTGTACTTTCACATACTCAAATATAGTATGCTTTAAATACACCCCAAACATACTTAAACTTTATAAGTAACAGTTAAACAAAAAGCAAAAACGACATATAGGATAGGGAAAAAAGTAAAAAAGTGTAAAAATTAGGACCATCTTTATTTCTGAAATGAAAACTACAACTTTCTACAAAGTAACTTTTCTTGTTTTTTTTTGTTGGCAAATTCTTCAATGACATTGTCAAAAACTATTTCATCTGTCAATTGTCGCTCTATAGACAGTATGGCAAGATTTCTCAACCGCAAGGTGCTCATAGTAGATCTTAAGTAATTCTTGATCAGTTTTAGTTTCGAAAAACTCCTCTCACAGGTAGCAACACTAACAGCAATTGTGAGGAAAATCCTCAGCATTATTACTATATTTGAAACCGAGTTCCCAAGGTTATACTTTTGAATAAACTGCAAAAGTTCAAGGGGGCCTTCTTTCCACGTCTGTATTCTGTCTTTAATAGTTATAGCAGCAACAGCAACAGCAACAAAATGCTGAAGTCTTTTTCTCTCAACGAGGAACTCCTCTTTATCAATGTCGTCGTGATCGTGATCTATTTGACACTCATATTTATCATCCAAAAGATTCAATGGGGTAAGGAAGGCATATTTCTCAGCAAGTTCATGAAGCTGTTGAAATCTCAAAGTTATTTCTTGGATCACTCTGTCCAGCGAAGAAAACATTTCTCTCCTCATTTCAATGTCGTATGGCAATTCAGCATCTCGTGATCCTTCACTTTTGGGGGGCGGCACTTTTGGGTCTGCTCATCACCCATATCTGCAGCTACTGGAGACGTTAATCCTTCCCTTTGTATCGGCGGCAAGTTAATCCTCGTCGTGTCTGACCTAACACCTGACCCACACCACATGAGCTCACTGGCGTACTTGTTTGAAGTTGTTTCCTTAATCCTCAACAGGTTACAGGTTGTGTGTGTGTGGCGGGGGGGGGGCGCATAGCAAGGGTGTAGCTCATGACGTGGCCGTGATGATGTGGGTCAGGTGTTAGGTCAGACACGACAAGGATTAACTTGCCGCCGATACAAAGGGATGGATTAACGTCTCCAGTCGCTGCAGATATGGGTGATGAGCAGACCCAAAAGTGCCGCCCCCCAAAAGTGCCACCAGACAGATATCAATCCTCAAGTATTATTTAAACATAATTCCATCTTCACTATTGACGCTTGAAGTACGTCTAGCAACTATCACGTGCGTCGATCTCAGCTGATTTCTCCTTGTCTTGTGATGATTTTGATAACTGAGCGACGACTGGCCAATTAGCTCATACACTGCCATATACCTTCGGACAAGAGAACTGAATTTACAGTGTAAACAGTAGAGTTATAGACTGCTTACGGACCCCTAAATAAGTTTTGAGTACGAAAATTTACGGGACTGTAAGGCGTCTGAAAATTACGGTACCATATCTCCGCTACTGTACGTAACTGATGAGGCACTTTGAGTGGTCTGAGCCACGCATTGCTCGGATGATGAGGACATCTCGGCAATTTCTTTCTTTGACAATGATGTAGTCACTGAGATGCCTGTGTTAGGATCGTGGGTGTTGCCACGAACCCTTGAACTTGTCAACCTTCCTAAACAGGTTGTGTGCAGCACACTTGCTGACGAGGAGTAGGCCGTTGGGATTACACTTCCCTAGTCCATTTCTCCCTGTGGTTCCCTGCCAAATGTCAGCATCTCTACCGACTCTGGCATTGAAGTCACCAAGAAGCACAACCTTATCTTCTCTGGGGATAGCGGTTAGCACTTTGTCAAGGTCGGCATAAAAGGCCTCCTTGATGCCATCCTCTGCATCCAGTGTTGGGGCATATGCACTGATGATAAAGGCATGTCGTGAGTGATTCAGTGGAACTCTGAGCGTCATGAGGTGCTTGTTGATCCCAACAGGCACTTCAGTTTGGCTGTGTAGGATGCGTTGGCGGATGGCAAGGCCAACTCCATAAATGCGATTTCTCTCTGCAGCAGGCTTACCCTTCCAGAAAAAGGTTTAGCCAGACCCCCGTTCTGTGAGTCGACCTGGAACACAGACGTGCAAGTAAGAACCCAAGTCTGACCTCTCGATGACCGTTCCTTAGTTTCTGTTGTTCATATTGGCTGATTATCACTATTTATGATTTACTGTGTGACAAAAACTGGATTTCTTTATGACAAATATGTGTTTTGTATTTCTTACAAAGTTACGACACTCGTCCATTGAGAAATACACACACAAGTAAGTAGAATAAGATAAAAACCTCAAATGTTACAAAATGGCTAGCGATGAGAACACCTGGGCCTACAGTGATATACTGAAGGTCTCAGTAAAGATTTTGCCTGGGGTCGGCTACTGTAGGCCATTTGTCCAGAACAGCAGTCAGCAGTCAGCAGTTCTCATAGTTAACGTTTAACTGATCTAACGTACACTAGTTTCGTGTACAGTAGTCACGTGAACAGCAGATATACGAACAGTAGTCACGTGCACAGTAGTTAAGTGAACCGTAGTTACGTGTACAGTAAACACGTGTACAGTTGTTCAATGTAAAGTAGCTATGCGCACAGTAGTTAAACGTATAAGGGTTACTTTTACATTAGTCACGTGTACTGAAGTAAAATGTAAAGTGGTCACGTGTAAAGTAGTTAAATATACACTATACTATTTTCACGCTAACCTGGCCCTTAAGCCACGCCCCTCGTCTACAGCTACAAATAGTTGATTGGTTCATAGAAAATGTTGGTGTAGCTGTCCATTTCTTCAAACTAAATGTGTTCACAATTGGTAGGTAAACTTGTTATTCTATAAAATAATGTTAAGTATCTGGATTATCAAAATGCAAATGAGGACGTTAGAAATTTTTAAATGTTTATCATAAAAGGTCGAAGTCAAAGATGAAATTCGCTTTCGAATGAAGTCTTTTCATTATTTCTTTGTTTTGTACCGAACATAAGGCAAACAGGAGCAAATGATACCAAACATATAGCACAATTGATAATGAACTCCAGTTTGTTCGGTTGGATATATCCCAAACATTTATATAACTGATAAAACTTTATATAAATGCACGTAGTCTGCGCAGTAAACGATAAAGTTTTTCCAGACATCATTTTTTGTGGTGACTTCACTGTTTCCCATGTTCAGCCTTTAGCCAACAAACTCTCACTTCCCCTGATCCACCTCCCTCAAGAACCTGGGTCAAATTTATAAATTTTTGCTTCATTCAACTCTGTTCAGCAAATCCTTAAATACAGAATATTCCTTCCATGTTTTACACTCATTCTTTGAATATGTCAATAACTTACCCTAACTACTATACAGTACCTTCGCCGCCATCTTCTTCGTTTACCAACCCTTCTCGTCTATTTAACACTTCGAATGCGGGTTTTTGTATTTCTTTCCGAATATCGAATTTCCAACTTAATTCTAGGTCTATATTCACTGTAAATTATTTACAAGTCGTTTTTCTATGGGGAGGAGACTTGGTACGAGTACAGGGATGAGGACGGGAAATGTATATCATCTGGAAGAGATTACAATGCAGGATAACATTTTGACACTCTTTTGACATCTCGTAGTCAAGGGGTTAAACGAAACTTCTCTACTTCTACAAGATATAGATTCAATTTTATCCATTATACATTTTCTCACAAATGACCCCTTTTGCAAAGAACACCTTACTTAGAACATGAATTCACCCCCTCTTATCCTATTGTAACTTTAGTATTTCCATCTCGATAGTGCTAGACGATTACACTCAGCTGAGGAAACCCGTCGGCGATGTCAAAGCGTTATTCTGCATTGTAATCTTCCCAACTGAGACACTGCACACTTTCCCTTCTCTCCCCCAGTACCCCGTCCCCACACAGAAGACAACGCTAATTGGTAAGTTCCTATTCAGTGGAAATAACTATTACTAATTTCTTGTTTATAATACAATTATATCTTAACAAAACTACTCCAACTTTTTTTAAAGGTTCGAGAATTCGTATACATCAGCATTCTTAGGAGACCTGGGCAGCTGGGTATGGATTGGTCTTTCTGGCAAGACTGAAGCTAGTGGCTCCGTTTCCTTCTCCTGGGTCAACGGTGATACTGCTGAGTTCACCAACTGGGACGAATATGAACCCGGTAAATTTTAATGAACATGAGATAATTCGATTAACTTCTGTTAGTTTAACTTCTTTTTAGAAATTATGACTACTAAAAGGTTTTTCCCCCTGATATAATTAATGAGGTAAACTACTTGTAACAAATTTGACAAGTATAGGAGATCATTCATTTAAAAAAAACACACATAAATACGCACAGAATATATTAGGTTTATACCTCTAATGGCAGAGAATATAATGAATGATGTGTGCACTGCTCCTCTCTTCAGAGTCCAGACAACTAAAAGTCAAAAGAAAAGGTGGTTGTTGAATATATATATATATATATATATATATATATATATATATATATATATATATATATATATATATATATATATATATATATATATATATCATGTAAATCCACAATGAAAACGTGGATAAGATAAATCTTGATGAAATCACACGGGAAAATGGAAACAACGGAGTACCTTAGCTTTCGTCTTTATTCAAGACATCTTCAGAGGCAACTGGATTACATGGACAGAGAGAGGCTTAAATATACAGGGTGACCTTAAAAACAGGAGGTCAGGTCATAATGATGACATCCACTAATCCACACACCAACACACACTGTAGGTGCGCGTGATCTAGGTATATGCTGATAACCACAAGGAAAGAAGAAAACACGAAGTTCCCAAGCGCTTTCGTGTAATTCACATCTTCAGGGATGAGTACAGACTAAGGAGAACTACAAAACAAGGTGTATATATACAGAGGAGGGTGAGATCAGGTCCACAATGGTCAGGTATTAGGTAATGACCCTACTAATCTTTAAAAAGCACAGCAACGGTCGGTAGTCAGGTCAGAGGGTAAGGTGACCCAACCTTCTCACTTGGTTACAAATCTTCTTTATTACAAAATTGTCCAGTTTGTACCTGCCATTACTCAAATTCATGTTGACTGCTTCGGTATGTTTAATGAGACTAGATTCTATACTGTTCCTACTGTCAACTGAATTACAAGGTAATATTGAGGAGGCATTATCCCAGTCATTGCAATGCTTATTATCTCTCAGATGAACAAACAGAGCATTGGATTCCTGGCCTGTCCTAACACTATATTTATGTTGTTTAAGTCTAGTTACAAGATCTTTACCTGTCTGGCCTAAGTAAAACATAATACATTCCTTGCAAGGAACTTTATAAATGCAACCAATTGTGTTGTTGGGGGAGTTCTTGATTAAGATTTATTTAACAGTGCATGAGGTTTTAAATGCCACATTGATGTTCCAGGTTTTTAGATGTAAAGGAATTTGAGAGAAATTTTTGTGAAATGGTAATACTAAGAGATTCTTATGGTCATGGGTGGGCTTGGGATCAGTTCTATAAAAAGATTTCTTAGTAATGTTCAGGCATTTGTCTATGAAAGATCTAGGGTATTTAAGGTTTGAGCCAATATTATAGATATATTTATATTCCTCATCAATGAATTCCGGGCTGCAAATTCTCAAAGCACGTAAAAACATTGTTGAAAATACTGACTGTTTGACTCTATTATGGTGGGCAGAATAATAATGAATGTATGAACACACATTAGTAAGTTTTCTATTACACAGCTTGGAAACTTCGTGTTTTTCTTTTTTCCCTTGTGGTTATCAGCATATACCTGGATCACGCGCACCTACAGTGATTTGCCCGCATATATATATACAGTATATATATATATATATATATATATATATATATATATATATATATATATATGTATATATATATATATATATATATATATATATATATATATATATATATATATATATATATATATATATATATATATATATATATATATATATATATGGTCAGCATCCTCCCTTTGCATGCAAGTGAACATGGGTTCGATCCTCAGGCAGGGTAAAACTATGGGTGGGTTTCTTTATGCCATTTGCCTCTGTCTACCCAGCAGTAATTGGGATCCTGGATGTTAATCAATTAGCGGATCGTATTCTGGGGTAATGGTTAGCCAGTGCAGTCGGCGAGTTGTCCAGTCTTCTCGGACTAGTCCTTGACACTGGGTCATGCAGCTCGTTAACTTGGGGTGTGGTTGTTGTGTTGGCTATAGCTTCTACAACTTAACAAATTCACTCCTTGGAGGCCCTTGGGCCGGCCATCCTCGATTTCGAAGGGCAACCATTATTATTAAAATTAGTGTTGATATATATATATATATATATATATATATATATATATATATATATATATATATATAATATATATATATATATATATATATATATATATATATATATATATATATATAAATATATATATATATATATATATATATATATATATATATATATATATATATATATATATTTTTTTTCGGGAATAACCCACCCGGGCACAGGTCATCGACCCACAATGGGGCATAAGGGGAGAAAAAATAAGAGTAAAAAGAAATTAAAAATAGAAAAGAGATAGGTAATATTTATCTACACCACGAAGATGCCGGAAAACCATCTTTTTAAAGTGCGACAGATTGTATGCGTGTGGAAACACAGAAGAAGGCAGTGCATTCCACAGTTTGGCTATGTGAGGAAAGAAGGATGTACTATAACGGGCTATTCTAGTGTGACCGACATCCACAGAGAAACAGTGGGCACCGTGGGCAAGGCCTGTGTTACAAGCCCACGGCCTTGCCAGAGGTACACAAGATGCCAAATCCACCGAACATTGCCCGTTAAATTACGTGTAAAAGAGAGAGAGTGAAGCAACATTGCAGCGAAGAGAAAGGGAAGAAATATTATCAACTAAAGGGAGAGAGATAATACGACGAAATGCCTTTGATTCCACCCTATCTAACAGTTGGACAGACGAAGAGCCATACCAGATATGAGAGTAGTACTCCAAGTTAGGATGAATGAATCCCTTATATACTTGAAGCAACTGCACAGGAGCGAAGTAGCTACGGAATCTGTACAGCAGTCCCAGCTTTCGGGTGGCAGCATTAGCAATGTTGAGGACGTGTGGCTTTGTCATATAATATTATTGTCTTATACTTAGGTATACTATGTTAATAGCTAAATTAAATAACAATCTTGTGATGGCATCTTACAAAGGTAGTAGTGAACTGCCACTCCATGGGTGTGTGAAAGTGGGGTGATGTTTGCTAAATCAGCTGACTATGGCTCTACCCTTGAGAAAGATGAAAGCCAAGTAATCTAGTCGTGAATAATATGGTGAATCACTTGGTGAATAACTTGGTGATATACATTTGGGTATATTTATATAAAACAAAGGTGCTGTTACATCGCTCGGCCACCACCAACCGAGTATTCCAGGTTTAAATCCTTGGTATACCTGTCTATGTAACAACAAAGTGTGCTTTAGCTATACTATTGCATCGCGCACATGCCTTTTGGAGAATATTCTTGGAAATATTGTGTACCTAGAGGATATTTTCCTGTAACAAAATATCATAACAATCAAGCAAATGACAAATAAAACGGTAGGTATGATAAAACCAGGTAGGATTACTTCAGAAGATAAATATAAAAGAAGGTGATCCTGTAATGTAGGAAACTGTGTTTCATTAATATAAGGCAGAAGTTTAAGCTTATTAGAGACAAATTGAAGGCTGCTGAAATTATATTTAGTAAAAATGGTATGGGAACCAGTTCAGAAGTTATATTTGATAAAAAATGCGAGATGATGGTGAGTAGACAAGGTTTTGAATGCATTACTGCTGAGCTCACAATAGTCTGGAGCTATATGATAACCTTCTACTACTGAATGTTTACCTACACCCTGGCACATAAGTATTACACTGGTGTGCTTTGGGAAAAAAAAATATGGCACATTAGTGACATGCACGTGAAACACTAACCTGTAAGGTATTGGAGTGTACTCACATTGCTGCAGAGCTGTACAAGCATTACTTTATACTATTGCTAGTTCACAAGTAGCTTCTGCAGCCCGGGTGAAAGCAAAGGCATAAGCAGGACATACATGAAAGTGTAAATATTCTGCGCATGCACATCTGCGTATGCACATCTGCGTAGGTATTTAGGATCTTCTTTAGGTCGTGTTCAGTGTTGTCAACAAGGGTGAGATCGTCTGCATACTGAAGTTAAGTAATGGAAGCTACGCAGATGCGTATGCACACTTCGGCTTTAAGGTGAATGTACGGAAGACTCAGATTCTCTTTCAACCTGCCGCTGGTTCAGACACATCTCCACCATCCATCCATCCATATTTACGGCACTACCCTCTCTAATGTTACCCACTTTCGGATTCTCGACTCCCACCTGTTCACCATCGCAGACATTGATGAAGATACTCAGCATCGGATCAGATGTGCATCTCAAGCCTTTGGCAGACTCCGAAACCATGTCTTCAGCTGTAAGGAGCTGAAATTATGTGCAAAGTTTCACGTATATAGAGTAGTGGTCCTCCTCACCCTTCTATAAGGCAGCAAAACATGGGTCTCATACACGAGGTACCTCAAGGTACCTGAAGACTTTCACCAACGTAGTCTACGTTTTATCCGAGTTCGCTGGGAAGACAAGAGAACAAATGCCAGTATTCTTGCTGACATCAACTGTAGGAGCATCGACGTTACCATTATCCATCAACAACTACGCTGGACTGGCCATGTTACCCGTATGGACGACAGTAGACTGCCAAAGCAGCTGCTTTACAGTCACCTAACGAATAGTAAACGTAACGCCGGCGGGCAACTGAAAAGGAATAAGGATAGTCTCAGACAAACCTGAAAAAGTGCCAAATTGACCCTCTCACCTGGGAGATGATTAGCCCGACTGCATCCGAGGCAGACAAGCGCCAACACCGGAAGAACGCTGCTACCGCCCCTCCCGCAGTCGATGTAACTCTCCACATGTGAAACATCTGTAAACAACTGTGCCGGTTCCGTATCGGCTTCTTTAGTGACCCCAAAACTCACCAATGAAAGTGGCATCCCTAATAACTCGTATCATTGTATCATAGCTGGATGATCGTCATACTCGATTCCGAGTGACAGCAAAGTAGTAGAAGAGTATGTGATTGTCGCACGCCCATCAATAATATCAACACAGCCATGAGGTTAATTACATCTAGTTATAGCTTATTCTAACGTTTTGTTTCATTCTGTCAGTTCATGACAAACTTTTAAGTTCAACCTTGAAGAAAATGAAATACGCTAAATTTTGTGGTGTCATTCCATAGTGTTTTTGTTCATTTGTTTAGATGTTTCTTTATTGTAAACAGGAGCAGAAAAAAAGGCACGCTATATATAAATAATGTACATGTATTTCTTATAAAAACAAAACAACATAAATATGGAGGAAACTGCAGCGGGCCTATTGCCCCATACTGGGCAGTCCTGTTTACAACCATCCCCTATTGCTCATATATCCATTCAACCAATGTTTGAAGCTATCCAGGGTATTCGAGTTAATGATGATGTTTGATAACTTGTTCCACTCATCCACTACTCTATTTCCAAACCAATGTTTATCTATCTCGTGCTTAAATCTAAATTTGTCTAATTTAAAATCATTGTTACGAGTTTGCTCCTGGTTTAGCCTTGACTTCCATTTATAAACACCTCCATTGCCCCTCACTCTACGTCTGTCAAGGGAGTGCAAATTAAGATGCTTTAACCTCTCTCTGTACTCAAGGCTCCTAATGCCCGGGATTAGTCTTGTCATTCTCCTGTGAATTCTTTCAAGGAATTATATATCCATTCTGTAGTATGGTGACCTAAACTGAACTGCGTAATCCAAGTGAGGTCTCACAAGCGCAATATATAGTTTTAGGATAACCTCGCTAGTCTTGTAACCAACACTCCTTATATATATCAATATATATCAATATATATATATATATAATCAACGACCTCAGCAGCCAGGACTCGAACCCTCAACCTACTGTGTGGGACCAGGAAATGCTACCGACCATGCCACATAGACACTAAAAGCAGTTCTAGACTATGTTATATTTCACACAAAGCCTGTTCATCGAGCTGATGGCGCCGTGAACCTCCCGTGCCATTTATGTGGATGTCAGTAGCATTTTACCCAATCCACCTGGTATGAAACGCGAGGTACCATATATACTTCATTTTTAGTCCATATAACACGCGGACTTTGAACATATAATCAACGACCTCACCAGCCGGGACTTGAACCCTCGACCTACTGTGTGGGACCAGGGAACGCTACTGACCATGGACTAAAAATGAAGTATATATTATATCTCGTGTTTCATACAGCTGGATTGGGTAAAATGCTACTGACATCCACATAAATGGCACGGGCAGTTCCCAATGGTAGCGTTCCCTGGTCCCACACAGTAGGTCGAGGGTTCGAGTCCTGGCTGGTGAGGTCGTTGATTATATGTTCAAAGTCCGCGTAGGATATAGACTAAAAATGAAGTATATATATATATATATATATATATATATATATATATATATATATATATATATATATATATATATATATATATATATATGCAAGTAAATCACTGTAGGTGCGCGTGATCTAGGTATATGCTGATAACCACAAGGAAAGAAGAAAACACGAAGTTCCCAAGCGCTTTCGTGTAATTCACATCTTCAGGGGTGAGTACAGACTAAAGAGAAGTACAAAACAAGGTGTATATATACAGAGGAGGGTGAGACCAGGTCCACAATGGTCAGGTATTAGGTAATGACCCTACTAATCTTTAAATAGCACTGCAACGGTCGGTAGTCAGGTCAGAGGGTAAGGTGACCCAACCTTCTCACCTGGTTACAAATCTTCTTAATTACAAAATTGTCCAGTTTGTACATGCCATTACTCAAATTCATGTTGAATGCTTCGGTATGTTTAATGAGACTAGATTCTATGATGTTCCTACTATCAATTGAATTACAAGGTAATATTGAGGAGGCATTATCCCAGTCAATGCAATGCTTGTTTTCCCTCAAATGAACTAACAGAGCATTGGATTCCTGGCCTGTCCTAACACTATATTTATGTTGTTTAAGTCTAGTTATATATATATATATATATATATATATATATATATATATATATATATATATATATATATATATATATATATATATATATATATATATTTCATGTAGATCCACAATGAAAACGTGGATAAGCTCCTCTACATGTGTGTTGGTGTGGGGATTAGTGGATGACATCATTATGACCTGACCTCATGTTTTTAAGGTCACCGTATATATTTAAGCCTCTCTCTGTCCACGTAATCCAGTTGCCTCTGAAGATGTCTTGAATATAGACGAAAGCTAAGGTGCTCCGTTGTTTCCCTTTTCCCGTGTGATTTTATCAAGATATATATATATGCAAGTAAATCACTGTAGGTGCGCGTGATCTAGGTATATATATACCCAAGCACTTTGTTAGCCTTGTTTCGAGCAAATACACATTGTTGACTTGGTTTAAGATTCCTAGTTATCATCACTCCTAAATCTTTCTCACAGTCGGACCTCTCCATAACAACGTTGTTCATCTGATATCTGGTTTCTCTGTTTACATCTCCTAGACTAAATACTTTACATTTGTCCACATAAAATTCATCTGCCATTTTTCACTACAATCTTGTTTTAAGTGTTTCTTTAATGTAAACTGGATTGTAGTGATGCGGGTAGTTCACTACATGTAACACAAGTACAGCCTAACATAGCATGGTTATTTTTTCTTATCTACATTATTCTTAGAATAACAGAAACATGCAACATAACCAACCATAGAAAATATCATCGTGCATCAAGGTTTGGGTGTACAGTATTTGAGTGCATGATTTGTGCCCCTCGTGTTCCAGTGACTGTGATTTTGGATCCAAACAGTAAATTATCACCCATATTATTCATCACCTCATATTTATCTTCGTTAATCAAGTAACACTTAATGAGGTCACACTGAACGCATTCTATTATTTTGCTTTAAACAAAGACAATATGGTGACATGGTATCTTTTCTGATAAAACTTTAACAGTTTTCTGTGTTTACTGTTGACTTGTATCTGATAGAACCTTAAGAAGGCATTAACCATGTCGTTTTGACGTTTTAGCGGCAAATAATTGCAGCTACGTCAAGCAGCCACCCTTGTATGTCGCAGTGACTTACACACATTGCCGACCCAACTGCGGCTATGCTACAGAATGCATTGGAGTAAATAAACGATGACGTACATTAATTATGCGAGAGATCTATAAGTTTAAATATGTTCGATATACGATAATGAAAATATGATTATTGATTTATTTGTGTTTGCAGATCCTGATCATGGGACGTGTGTGGCAAGTTCTGGCAAGAAGACAAACCTTGGTTTCTGGACGGTGAGAAACTGTGATGACGAGTATAGATACATCTGTAAGTAACCATCCTACTAACAAAACATTCTTCTCCTGGTTCGTTTCTTTTAGATTTCTCTAGCGTAATTTTTACCTATTAAAAGCTTATAGCATGGCCTACAGTGATACGCACGTTTATTAAAAGGTTATCATTAGTTTGTTTGGGAATCAAGGAAACCTATTAAGCAAATACTTAATTCATAAGAGAAAGCGGTATGAATCAATCCAGTCAAGCAATCAAAAGTTAATCACATGGTCAATCCACACATCCCACCTCTGGATGACAGCAGCTACAGGGACAGTGCAGTTATTGATCACTCTGCCGAGAACCTCTGTTGGGATGTATCTGATCTCCCTTTTAATATTAACCCTTCTCCCTGTCTAAACGTTGTTGGTTAGTTATGGAACTATTGTGGCTGGCGATGTTGCATTGTATCAATATCGGCCTTCACTGGATGTGGCTCCAACTACTAGGGGAGGTTGGGCAATTACGGCTTCTGACTGTACACTGAATATAAGATTATCAATGGCTTCAATAGCAATAAAATAAATAAATATTCTTTATTGTCACTCCTTTGTCTCTATTAGTCCTTAATTCATGTTTGATGAAGTGAAAGTGTAGACATGAGCTGGATTCTAGTCTGAGTTTGAATAGTTTTCACCTTTCCATGATATACAACTTATACTCATAGTTGCTGTACCTTTAAAATTGTTTCTTGTAAATTTTTCAGTTATATTATATTGAGTGTATTGTGTAATGTCATGGAAATGTTGTGTAGTGGTAGAGTTGAGTGATTAGCGCATTTCTTATATATATTCCATCCGTATTAGTTGGTTCTCACTTTTGAACATCCCTCGTACAGCATGTATAATGTTTGTTTGATATGTAGGCAGAAAGTAGCGTATAATTTGCAGCTTGTAATAGCATGTTAAAAGCGTTTTACTGATTATGTACAGTCCCCCTTTACTAGTGCGTTTACAGGGGCACGTCATATAAACATTTCACAAGTCATTTTCTTCGAGATATTATTTTTAATATTGTTTTGCTTTGACTCCAAAGTATGTTTACAATTACGAGATTTCTTCTGTCAAATATAAACAAACACAGCGCTTCCACACTGCACAAAACCTGACGAGCCCCTGTAAACTCATTAGTGAAGGGGACTGTACGTGTCTTTCTTGTTCGCCTCCTGTACCTATATCAGCACCTTTTACAAATGTCTCCTATGTAACCACACGAGTTTCTCCGCCCCTTCCAGGTGAATACGACCGTAGTGGGTACACTACGCCCACTCCCCCAACAACCATGCCTCCCACGTACTTCTGCGCTGATGGCTGGACTCGCCGTGGTGAGAGCTGCTATCAGGTCAGTGTGGTTTACAATTACTCTATTTCTATTTATGTATGATCAACTAGACCGTCAGTAGGTTATTTAATGGCATCCCAAGGTCTCTTTTCTGGTAATATAATATCATCTTGTCCATCAATCTTGTAGAGCGCCGTACCTCTTAAAGTTTTACTGACGATGCAGAATTATGACAGTTTAGAATAAAAATAAAATCTCCCTAACGGGCGAGAAGTGGCTTGATTAAGTAATTAGGGAAACGAAAGGATACATACCTGTAAAGCTGATTTGGAGACTTTACTTTTGTTAAGTAGCTGCCTAATTGTAAAAGAACATGGTGTAGGTCAATGTGTATACTGTGTATTCATTTATATAATGTTTTAAAAATAAACAAAGAAGGAAAATAGGAATAATTGGTAAAGGGTAACGTCGCTGAGAGAGTCTTCAAGTCTTAACTCAAACTTCTGTGTTCAAGATGAGGTTTGCTTTAGTTTGGGGACAATGGATAAAGTTAAGTCACTTATCACTTGCTCTTCAATAGTACTGGGGAACAAATGTTAAATAAATAATCATTATTTCTGGAACAATCATCAGCTTCGATGATAATGATTTATCCATCAGAAGTTGAAATTTAAACATAAGTACATAAGAACATAAGAATGGAGGAAACTGCAGCGAGTCTATTGGCCTTTACTGGGCAGTCCCGTTCACACCCAACCCCTATTGCTCATATATCCATCCAACCTATGTTTGAAGCTATCCAGCGTATTCGAGTCAATGATAATGTTTGGTAACTTGTTCCACTCATCCACTACACTATTTCCAAACTAATGTTTGCCTATCTCGCACCTAAATATAAATTCGTCTCATTTAAAACCATTGTTACGAATTCGCTCCTGGTTGGATAGTTTCAGTATCTAATATACTATAGGACTAGCCGTGTGTCTGTCTGTCTGTCTGTTCTGGGCAGCCGAAATTGGCGCAATCGTTTTTCATCAAACTTGGTGGAAAAATCGCAAAAATATCGTAGAGTGGAACAAACCTGGTCCAATGTCGATGGTTTCTTTAGGAAGGCATGAATTAACAATTTCATTTATGATGGAAAACGATGCAAGTCTACGGACTTGGCGCACCCTAATTAACCATGCAAGTTTACGGACTTGGCGCACCCTAATTAACCATGCAAGTTTACGGACTTGGCGCACCCTCATTCACTGTACGCTGTCATGAGCGTTCAAACTTTCACAAGGGCACGAAGGGCCCACGATCACTTGTCTTTGCTAAACTCGTATCACCTTTGTTTAGTCCTGCCTTGCATTTATTAACTTCTATCATATCGCCCCTCACTCTACGTCTCTCGAGGGAGTGCAAATTAAGATGTCTTAACATGTCTCTGTACTCAAAGTTCCTAATTCCCGGGATTAGTTTTTTCATTCTCCTCTGAATTCTTTCAAGGGATTCTATATCCATTCTGTAGGACGGTGACCAGAACTGAACTGCGTAATCCAAGTGAGGTCTCACAAGCGCAAGATATATTTTTAGGATAACCTCCCTAGTCTTATAGCTAATACCCCTTTGTATGAGCCCAAGTCCTTTGTTAGCCCTGTTTCGAGCAAATACACATTATTAACTTGGTTTAAGATCCCTATTTATCACTACTCTTAAATCTTTCTCACAGTCGGATTTCTCTATAACAACGTTGTTCATCTGATATCTGGTGTCTCTGTTTACATCTCCTAGACTAAGTACTTTACATTTGCATTTGTCCGCCACCAACTCTGATGTTACGTATGGGAGCAGAGTCCTCAATCAGCGGGTGAGCTTCAAAGTTTGTGACCTGCTCTGGAAGATATTAGGCTAATCCGGCAGATGACCTCACTGTAAGAGAAGGAATATATCATCTTAGGTGCACAGATAATTTGAGTGACAAGACATAAAATATATCGGGGAATAGACGTGATAATTCTAGAGAAACTGATAAAAAATAATTATATAACTAATAACACTAAAGGTTATAAAAGATAATACTGAGGGATACAGATGGTAACACTGGGGACACAGATGGTAACACTGGGGACACAGATGGTAACACTGGGGACACAGATGGTAACACTGGGGACACAACACACATTCACACACAGATGGTAACACTGGTGACACAGATGGTAACACTGGTGACACAGATGGTAACACTGGTGACACAGATGGTAACACTGGGGACACAGATGGTAACACTGGGGACACAGATGGTAACACTGGGGACACAGATGGTAACACTGGGGACACAACACACATTCACACACAGATGGTAACACTGGTGACACAGATGGTAACACACAGATGGTAACACTGTGGTAACACTGGGGACACAGATGGTAACACTGGGGACACAACACATTCACACACAGATGGTAACACAGATGGTACACAGACACAGATGGTAACACTGGGGACACAGATGGTAACACTGGGACACAGATGGTAACACTGGAGGACACACATTCACACACAGATGGTAACACTGGTGACACAGTAACACTGGTGACACAGATGGTAACACTGGTGACACAGATGGTAACACGGGGACACAGATAGTAACACTTGATGGTAACACAGACACAGATGGTAACACTTGGGACACAGATGGTAACACTTGGGACACAGATGGTAACACTGGGACACAGGGACACAGATGGTAACACTTGGGACACAGATGGTAACACTGACACAGATGAACACTGGGGACACAGATGGTAACACTGGGGACACAGATGGTAACACTGGTGACACAGATGGTAACACTGGTGACACAGATGGTAACACTGGGGACACAGATGGTAACACTGGTGACACAGATGGTAACACTTGGGACACAGATAGTAACACTTGGGACACAGATGGTAACACTTGGGACACAGATGGTAACACTGGGGATACAGATGGTAATACTGGGGACTCAGATGGTAACACTTGGGACATAGATGGTAATACTGGGGACACAGATGGTAACACTGGGGATACAGATGGTAACACTGGGGACACAGATAGTAACACTTGGGACACAGAAGGTAACACTTTGGACACAAATGGTAACACTGGGGACACAGATTCATTCCACTGGAAAGGCCTATGTTTTATTCCCTACAAAATGTATGTAAATAAATAAAATGATTAGCTTCGAAAGTTGAGAGCAGGGGAAAAAGTTTGCCAAAATATTAGGTATTTGAAATGATTAGAAATAATATTTACAGCCGACTTCGATCTCCACACTCTGTCAGTTAAAGTTAGAACGGTACGGTAGGGGAATAGAGAGAACGTCCCTTCTATTCTACGTCCGCATACCATTAACAGAGCAAATGAAGACAAATTGTATGGCATCAATGTACCAACACATATTAATTTACAGCATAATGTATTAGGGTGAGCTCAGATTATACTCCATTTCCTAAAACTCGCCGAGTTAAGAAAATTCAAAGAGGAAGGAATAGGAACGATTGATCAATGAGCGTAACAGTGGCTGGGTTCGACTGGTTACCAAAATGATGCCCTACTGTCCCGCTGCAGGGGGAGGGGGGGGGGGGGCAAAGTTCACTTTTGCCAACTAAGGTTGAACGGATTATAAAATTACAATCACTCCAGTTTCTGAGAGGGAAAACAATGCATACAGAAAATTAATTCCTTCCCCCTCCCCTTGCCGTCCTCTTCCTCCCCCTCCCCTTTTTTCTCTTCCCCCCTTCCCTTCCCCTCTCATCCCTTTCCTTACTTCCCCTCTTTCTCTCTCCACCCTCCTCTGTTTCCCCTTTTCCTCTCCTCTGCCAGTTGTTGGAGGTAGTATTTTAGCTGTTTCTCCAACATGTGTTTGTGAACTCCAACATGTGCTTGTGAGCACCTGCAACATGTGTTTGTGAACTCCTCCAACATGTGTTTGTGAGCTGATCCAACATGTGATTGCTAGCTCCTCCAACAGGATGCGGGTTTCTAACACATATACAATAGTGGTTATGGACACCAGTCATGCTATCATGTTGGTAGGTATGAGAAAACTGTTAGAGGGTCGAGTGCTCTCGACCACGCTGAGTATAGAAAGCAACTACACTATTACCATATATATCATTAGGCTCTACTTTAACAGCAGGAGCATTCTTTGTTGCAGCACTATCACTAAATATTTTTTGTAATTGAGCTTTCATATTATCATAAGTTAGTGATGCTAACGTGGCTCTTGCTAATTGTTCGTGTGTATCAGACAGGTTAGCACTACGCAATAGTCTACAGTATATAGAAGCACACCATCAGGTAATACCAAATTAAAATGTTTTGCCTTTTGATACAATCGTTCAAACGTATATATATATAGTCAAATATGTGCATACCACCTGGATGCTGATATCTTTCAAAAGCATAATATGCTTCAAATGCAGCATTGCAGCATTACGTGCAGAACCATCCAGTGACAGGAACAATGCAGGGCATAATTTCTTTTTCTCCAGGTGAGTGAAGGCCCTCCATACTCGGACCTCATGCTTCCACTCGCTGTAGGGCAGGTTTTTCTTCATCGGTGGTGGGGCTTTATAATCTCGACTTGAGGCCACCTTCTCAAATGACAACTACGTTTTGCTACCAATGATTAAATCAAAATACAGTTCATTGGTTTCAGAATATATTTTAAGCCTCACCATATACTGTACCTGGAACACCAAAACCATTCATCAAAACAATATTATGCAACACACAACAAGCAATACAAAGAAGACATAGCATTATTACAATCAAATTAACATCCTCCATTCTTATTTCTTATGTTCTTATGTTTAAATCAACCCCCAAGTTCTTTTACTTCAACTGTAGCAATGGTTCAGCGGTCTGTAAGTGTTGCTTTCACAGTAGGGGTTCAACTGTTAAATATTTTACTATTCATCATGCATTCAATCACCAAATCAATGGACGGTAATGGTGAAGCATGTCATATATTTTGTAAATCTAAAACATTTGAGAGCTTTACTTGTTCTTCTGTGGCCTCTCCTCCTTTGTCTGTTAGAACAACTATCGCTCCAATAATTCCAGGGATCTTGATGGGTCCTTTGCTAGCACAAACTTTTCTCAGTGACAAATAACCCTATTCACTCAGATGCAAACGATTTAATTCTCCATAGATTTTAGGCAACAAATACTTGTCGCTAAAGAAAGACCTCACATGCATAGCCGAATGGGCTGCATCAAACTTTGTTATATTTAATGCTACAGAAACAAAAATACACTTGATTTTGTAAAAGACATGATACTTCATAACTCAACATGGATATTGACAGCACCATCATCCAATCCTCATTCAGTGTTAAGATCTTACCCGACAAACTTCATCTAATATTTAGCCAAAACTGCTTCAGTGAAGCTTGGACTCATACGTAGGCCCAGGCCCCATTTTATCTGTGAAGAGTTGGCAATAATTTATGTCGTCATGGGCGTTCCCAGATGGAATACTATCATGTGGGCTGAGTGTGAAGCAGGAATACTTCGCCCCCGTGATTCAGTGCAGAAGCCATCAAAACAATGAACAAGAATAAACTTCCCAGATAATTTTCCAGTGTGGCACATTCGCTGGGTTAACTTGTCACTCTCCCTATTATACAGGCACTTCCTCATTTAATGCTTTCACAATTTACCCTTAGTAATACCTCATCACGTTCCATCCATCGGGCTACGAGGGCATCTGGGGAACCTTGCCTAATTTACTGATATGCCGTACTCCCTGCCACAGTGTTCTTGGTGGATAAATTTGTCAGCATCTTTTCTCTGATATCTCCCTGTGTTCTTTATGTCTAGATGAAAAAGAGAATACAATGGGTGTAACGTGGTTGCAGGTGTATCCTCAAGCATCAAGTTGGGGTGATGGGGAGAAGTACTGTGCTGCCTTTAGTGGACACCTGACAAGTATTGGCTCTGACGCTGAGGAAGCCATCATAAAACTGTGAGTAACTCTTTTCTTCGATTATTTATTAATACTAAAAATAATTACCACTTTTGGGGGGCTAGATACTGGTGCATAAGTAAAGGTTATGCCTTACGTTTTCTTTTCAAAGTAAATTATGTCTATTTATAAAATGAATTTCATATTATCGAATTATTTGTAATTTATGAGAAGAGAATAAATACTGAAAGCACATGAAGTCTCTAATAAAGTAGAATTACGGATGAACTAGGAAGTATGATGAATGAATGACTGGACTGCACCTATAATTGAGAGTGTAGTAAATCACTTTAATTTATAATATAAGATATGTAATAAATAGATGCAAATATAGTTATTGGGAGGAGGGACAGTGTGAGGCAGGTGTATAGGACAATCAGAGGATGGGAGGAGAGACAGTGGGAGGCAGGTGTGTCGGACAATCAGAGGAGAGGAGGAGAGACAGTGGGAGGCAGGTGTGTCGGACAAGCATAGGAGGGGAGGGGAGACAGTGGGAGGCAGATGTGTAGGACAATCATAGGAGGGAGGAGGGACAGTGGGAGGCAGATGTGTAGGACAATCATAGGAGGGAGGAGGGACAGTGGGAGGCAGGTGTGTAGGACAATCATAGGAGGGGAGGGGAGACAGTGGGAGGCAGATGTGTAGGACAATCATAGGAGGGAGGAGGGACAGTGGGAGGCAGAGGTGTAGGACAATCATAGGAGGGAGGAGGGACAGTGGGAGGCAGAGGTGTAGGAGAGTGGTATAAGAAGATAAATATAAGAAGGAAGTAAAGTTTGACGTAGAATTGCCGCACAGACAAATTTGTTCCTTCATAAGCTCTGTTTTTACACACACAGTGTATAAATAAAGTGAATCTTAATCTTCCATAATTATTTATAACGTTTCATATTAGTGTACATATTGACATGAGTCATCAGAATTATTTATGCCAACACTTTATGTTGTTCGGCACAACACCTTTGTACACAACCCACAAATATATTGGGAAATTCTTTTTGTCAAACCTCCCTCGTTTTTTTTATCTACTGCAGGAATCTAACACCTACAGATGTTAGCAATAGCAAATATATCATTTATAGATGTCTGACAAACTTATCATTTAGAGAGATTAGGCAAATGTAATATTTGAAGATGTCAAGAAAATTTAACATTTACAGATATCAGGCACAGGTAACATTTACAGATGTAAGGCAAATTTAATAATTGTAGATGTTAGGCAAACCTAATATATTTACAGATGTCTGGTAAACCTAACATATCCAAATGTCAGACAACTTTAACATTTGCAGATGGTAGGCTTGCCTGACCTTTGTTAATGATAGGTTTTGTCATTAACAAAGGTCAGGCAAGCCTACCATTTACAAATGTCGGCAAGCCTAATATTTACAGATGTCAGGCACGCCTACCAAGCCTGCAAGCCTACGATTTGCAAGCCTACGATTTGCAGACGTCTGACAAACCTAATATTTATAAATGTCAGGCAAGCCTAACATTTTCAGATGTCAGGTAAACCTAATATTTACAGATGTCATGTAAGCCTTATGTATACAGTGTCTATCTTCTGAAGTCAGATCAGTTTTTATAAAACAGATTTTTATTTCCACAGACTGCCGGGAATGACGGATATCAAAGCAACTTATAATTCTGTATGGGTGGGTCTCAAGCTGGGATCTGATTCAGGTAAGCAAACGTAGTAAGACACGCGGACATGTTGATCAGTAAGCAAGTATGAGATTAATGTTTCAACCATGTTATTAGGTTTTTCTTCGTAAATTTTTTTTTAATTTTCATGTGTACAATAATAACGATGAATGTACACGTATGGCCAGTTAAAGGTATAACTAAATCCAAATGAGAAGAAGTAACAAATATAATTATATGCTTGTTTAAGCTGCCAATACACAAAAAAACAATGAAACCGAACTGGTTACTCTGAATCCAAATTCTCTAATATTCAGATGAAAAATTCGACAACTAAATTATTATTTTCGTCTGTGTGCTAGACTGAGCTGGTAACATCATTTTCGCTGTTACATAGTTCGATGGCTATTCAGGCCCAATGAAATGAAGAGGGACTCCTTTGGTTACGCATTACTTTTGAAATACCACTAAAACCACATATAGCACAGAAAATACCTTTAATTATCTACATTATATAATCACACAACCCTTGGCCTATGTCTCCAACCTGATAAATGTTTTTTGTTTCAACATATATATCTGTGCAAAGGAAGTCTGGAAGTTCCTAAAGAGAGAAATATGCTAAGGGTCTGAGAAAAATTAGTGAGCCAAAATATGAATTATTTTTTAAAATCTGGCACAGAAAACGAAATTGTCCTTGAAACGCAATTAATGAATCCTAAAATAATAACTTGTAACTTCGTTCTGCTGAGCACAGATATTTAAGAATAAGATAACAATCGTTATGCCATCACTCCACTTGATCAGAATTTTACCACTGTAGTGCGTTTTTCCCAGCTGAGAAGAGATACCCCGCCCCCTCCTCAAGAGTTACAGCTGATTGGTTGTTGCAAATCTGTCCAATTTCGTCCTGAAGTAATAATATATTACTAAATGAGTTTATTCATAATCGTTGGGATGACCATTTCTGAGGAGAAAAATATTTAACTAAATTATATAAAGATACATACATTCATTATTTCAAACATAAACACGCAGGAAGTTTATCAGATGTCTTATGCATGCATTAGATTTAGATTTTTTTTTAGATTGCCCCCGAGGGGGCTAGTTTATTGGGCACCCCCTTACATCTTGTGCAAGGTGAAGCGCAGAAGCGTTTACAGCGCTCACCTGGGAAGCATGCTAAGTTCATGCTTGCCTTTATGACTCATGCATTAAGGGCGTAGAAGCCTGAAGGGTCATAGGTTTTGTCAGCCAGTTACATAAAGTGACAGAATGGTGAGTGTGTGGGGGGAAAGTTCCCGGTATATTTTATCTGTTTATGGCAAAGCGTGGCAGGTCCCTAATAATGCCAAGTGCCAGGTCTGTTACTAGGAGGAGGGATATCTGGTCAGGGAGGGAAGAGGTGTTGGTAACGGCTGGGGACCTGTAGGAGGAGGTCATAGGGCAAGTGAGGAAGTAGTGAGAGAGGGTGTGAGAGTCGGGTTGGCCACAAAGTTTACAAACAGTGCGGCCAGGCTCGGGGTTGCGAATGTACTCCCATAGGTACCTGTACCCTAGGCGCAGTCTCATGTACATAATCTGTTGAGATCGAGTCAGGGATTGATACTCTTTGTAGTGGCGGTTGTCGTCACCGGTTACAGCGTCATAGTGGCATTGTGTGATGATACCCCGTTGTTTCAGGTGTGTCCAATTTTCATCGAATGCTTCTCGTTGTGCGGCGTGTATGCGAGATTTGAGATGATTCAGAGAGATTGCGAGGGTGGCTTCAATATCTTCTTCTTGTGTCGCTTCTTTGGCAAGCCGATCAACAGTGTCACAGGCAGTTATTCCTATATGTGACGGGATCAAAATAAACTTGACACGGATGTCATCAGTTTGTTCTAGCCCGGCGAAGGCGGCTAGGGTGTGTTGGGCGGCAGGGGAGGAGGGGGGAGGGTAATTTGAGCCTCGCTAGCGCAGAAGTGCTGTCACTGATTATAAGGAGGTTCCGGCGTTCAGTGCGAGCATAGGTCGCCCCCTCATGAATGCCCGCGAGGATGGCTATGCTTTCAGCATCAGTGGAGGAGGCCCAGTCGTGGACCCTGAGTTTCCTGCAGGCCTGGCGCTCAGGAATCCACACAGCTGCCCCAGCGCTGCCCAGCGTGGTAACAGACCCATCACAGTAGACGAGGATAGGAGGGTGGGAGGTCTTTAGAGAGGAAGCGACATCATTAATCTGCTCAAAGCAGTTAAGTTTGAGCATATACCGCAGTTGGGTGGATTTACGACCAGGGAAGGTGTGGACGACAACATCAACACACGGGGAGGTCCACGGCGGTAGAGGCGGATGAGTGTACTCGGGAGGGAGAGAGGTCGAGGGGGTGTAGAGGTGATAACGCAGGATGTCAGCAGCAGTGTGGACGGGCCAGTGTTGAGAGGGGGAGGGGAAAGTAATGGGGACAGGCCGGCGCAGGAGGGTGTTAAGATGTGAGTTCAGTGAGCGCGACAGGGGAGTCGGTTGCTCACTGCGAAGAAGTTTAACACCAAGGATGGCATTGAGAGCAGTAATTCGATCGCAGATGGGAAGCAGGATTAGTTCGCGCTGCATGACTTCTATTCTGGTGGTCATAGGGCAGCCGAGGATGAGTCTCATCGCTCTGTTTTGGATTTTCTCTATGCTTTGTTTCTCGCGCTGGGAGGCAACTACAAGGACAGGAGAGGCATAATCTATGACAGCTCTGACGATGGCAATGTACATGAGACGTAGGACCCTGACAGAGGCTCCTTTGAGGCCGTGAGCGAGGGACTGGAGGGGCCTCGTTCGTTGGCGGCACTAGGAGATGACGTGGGCGGCGACAGCGGAGGTCGTGGCTCTGGTAGTGGCTCGCACAGGTAGACCAAGGTACCTGTAGGTGCGTACTTGATCGATGTCTTGTCCTTGCAGAATCAGTGGTGTCTGACGCCGGAAGCGTGAGATGAACTTGGTTTTAGTGTGTGAGATGACTAGCCCGAGTGTTTGACAGGTCCGGGCGAACGTGGAGAGTATAGGTTGTTCATGTTGCACTGTAGTAATTTGGAGGAGAATATCATCAGCGTAGCTTATGATGTGACCGTCTAGGGCGCGCTCAGCAAAGATGTCATTGAGGCGGCAGATGGAGTTCATGAGTACATTAAAGAGTGTAGGGCTGAGTACACCTCCCTGAGGCGTGCCAAGATCAAGGTCCCTGCTCGTAGAGTAGTGGCCCTGAAACCGGACACGGGCCTGTCGACGGGAGAGGTAGTCAGCAATCCACGTGAGGAGTTTGCCCTTCACATCCATGTGAGTGAGACCCTCAAGGATCACTTCACAATTGGCTTTATCAAAAGCACCCTTGAAGTCGACGAAGAGGGAGGTTTTGGCTGAGGTGTTCGCCATGTAGGCAGTAACATCATGCGCTCCATCATCTTTGAAAACAGGAGATGAGGAGCTTGGACGATATTCATCTTGTCTGCCTGGTTTAGGGACTGGATGGTGGTGGCAGTCTTCCGCAAAGGTAGGGAGCAGCTGCCAATGTATCTAAAGAGGTTAAATAGACAGAGGTTACCAGGGGTGCTTAATAGGGCATTTAGCACATCATATGGCGCCGTCATCGCCAGAACCAGTGGACCGACCGCGCTTAACAGCATTTAGTAGTTCACACACTGTGTGAAGGCGTCAGTGTCTGCAGATGAGTCTTAGTACTCGGAGATGCGCTGTCAGCGTTGTGGTTGCAGTGCGAATTGAGAGTCTCGACACAGCGGGTGGTAAGCGCACTCGATGGAAGGCGGCCTCCTGCCACGTCTGCGAAATCGCCTCATCTCGGGGGAGCTGGTCTGAGAGGTGGAACGCGGGTCTGGCGTTGGTGCCCCAGGCACGGTGTGGTGTTATATATCACCTATAGATGTAGACTGGTCAATAGAAGAAGCAAAATCATACCACTGCTTCTCTCGTACGGGGAGTGATGGCAGATTGGAGCTCTTCGGCCATCAGCAAGCGTAGAGGCATCGGGGAGCCAGGAGATTCCACTGGTCGACTGCTAGTCGGTGTATACTCGGATAGACTTAGCATGAAGGTCGCAATTAACATTCCACTGACTCCTGGGCTGGCGGTGGGGCGGCGGTGTTTTTGGGTCAAGGCGGAAGTCAGTGCATTGTTGGACAGATCAAGGTGGGGATTGGTCTGCGGTGGTGACAGTATAACCTGAAACCATTCAGCAATGTGGTAGTGATGAAGAGCTGGGTATGTTGTGGTAGGCTAAGGCCTAGGGCCCTTAGGTGGGGCAGGTATTCTCACGTACTGGAGGGTGGTAGTGTGGATAGAAATGGTCACTATTGAAGTGGAGGATGCGGGTGGAATGTAAGTGGTGAGTCAGAGTGAGGGCGATGTGATCAGTTTCCTCCCCGTGTAGGTGGGTGATGGAGAGACAGAAGGCGTACAGGGTCATCAGTGGTTTGTGGGTTGGAGAGCCAGGGGTTACCCGGGGTTTTAGTGGGGAGCCTGAGGCCGAGACTGGGGAGTATCGGGCATTGAGGTCCCCCACAAGGAGGGTGGGGGTGGAAATTGATATGGTGTGGTAGAACACATACGGTAGGGGTGAGAGCACAAAGGAACATTGACAATGTGAGGACATATCTTTTCCCAAGTCCATGATTGTGATGACGTGTGCGTTGGTGGTGTCGTCATCAAGGAGGACGTCGAGAGGTTATTGAGGACATCCTTCTTGGCATAGATGCGTAGTCTACATACATGGCCTCATAGTAGTCCTCGATACGAAGAACGGGAGTGGATGGGCACTCAACACATATTAGCCACTGAGCACATAGGTACCAGCAACTTACCTGCGTTCTTGGAGGCACAACTTTTGTCCGACATCTTCAAAGTGTAGACGTAGGTTTGAGGAGCACCAAACTTTGTTTGCAAAGCGTTTATGTTCCAGGTAGTGCCTGCGAAATCCTGTAACGTTGCTATCCATTGTTGTGTATTAGACTGATTACCCCTGACGTGGACGGATGGGCCCTTAGATCTCGGCATGTCAGTT